AAAAATATTTTTAAAGTATTTGCAAGAATAAGTATGGCTAGTATCAGGAAAAAGTTGGAAAGACTTGGAACCCTCATTTGTAGTTGTTGTTCTTGCTGCTGCTGTTAGGTGCTACCGAGTCGAGTATGACCCATAGCAACCCTATGAACAACAAGTTTGAACCCTATTCTATCCTGTACCATCCTCACATTTCCTGATACACTAGAGCCCATTGCAGCAGTCACTGTGTAGATCCACTTGTTGAGGGTTTTCCTCTCTTTTGCCAACCATCCACTTTTCCAGGCATGCTGTCCCTCTCCAAAGAATAACCTCTCTTAGCAACATGCCCAAAGTATGTGAGAGTTTTGCTGATAGCTATGTAAAACGTTGCAGTCTCTATGGAAAAAGTTTATGATTCCACTCCAAGGTATAGATACAAAATAAATGAAAGCAGGAACTCAAATTCTAATCACATATCAATATTCATTGCATAGTTATCCACCAAAATCAAAAGATGAAAAGACTCCATCAACAAATGAATAAACAAAATATGATATATACAACAGAATATGATAGTTGAATAATATAATAAATATAATGAATACCTGTGAAATGTATATGTGAAGAATATTGAAATGATAAAAAATATATACATATTAATCACAACAAAAAATTTGAAAGCCAGGATAATTGCTTACCTCTGTGTATTCATCAAAAGTATGATCTTCTGTCTGAAATTGTGCTATCATTTTATCAGCAGTCCCATCAAGAAGCCAATTATATTTTTTAACTAAAAATTAATAATATAATTAAAATCTCAATAAAATATTTTCAAAAGGTTAAGTGCCTATTTCTATGTTGCCATGGAATGAGGCAACCTACTCAATTAAATATTATTATTCATAAAGTATTAACATACACAAATTACTGTGTCAAAAAAGAAAATAAAACCACCTTAAATAGCAAGCCAGGCTCAACAGAGGCTTCTAAAATTGAGACAGCTTATTTAAGGATTCAAAAATAACTTGGAGATACAGTTAAGAGAAGGTTCTGGTTAACAGGATGCAAAGTGACAACTAATCCACCCTGATCACACACACACTAAAGAAGACTATTAAACTAGTAATATTTCAGGCAGCAAAAAGATGTTCTCAGCAATTTCCCTGGTTTTACCAATTACTGAGCTTCTTCCTCATCCCTACCTACATCTCTCCTCTCTGCCTGTGGCTTTCTTACACTGCTCCAGTTTACCATCAGCCTTTAAACTTTACAAAAGAATTCCAATTTCTTGGTTTTGATCTTCAACTTTGCCAAAAGTCATACATATGCTCTCACTTCTGGTTCTCCCTGCTTTGTCAAAGCAGCCCCAGCAATCAAACATTAGAACAAATTATAGTAAAAATAAAGTGCCACTATTTTATGATAAAAAAGTATAATATCATATATGTCATATATACCATATTCTTCATAACGTTGCCTTGGACCTTCTAGGTTATGTTTTACTGCCGTCCTCAGCTTATCGATAGCCCATTGGATCACATGTTCAGGAAGCTCTGTGTCAAGAGTTACAGGTGGTGAAGCTCCTGTTAGCCAGGAAGGTATTGTCTGGATATGCTGATGTAAATAAAAATGACAACTTATTAAATAAATATCAAAGTATGCAACTTGTTTGAAAAAGGTCTTATGCTTTATTTTAAAAACATTCTCAGATGAAAGCTGTTCTAAAAAATGTACTCACTAGGCCATCAGAGGTCCCTGATGTGGATGCAAAATAATAATTTAAAATTATATCTCTTTTTTTTAGTATTTTTTTAATTTATTTTATTTCATTATTTTTTGTGTGTACCGTCAAATGATATTCGACTGGCACAGGAGGAGATTGTTCCTCCTTCTTCAGCAGAGCATCTGGTGGATTCGAACTGAGCATCTCTGAGATTGCAGTTGCAGCTTCCTACCACTAGGCCACCAGAGCTCGCCTAAAATTGTATCTCTTATAGTCAGTATAAAATTTAAGTTATTTTACTACCTCTTAATAAATAATGATCAAATACCTAAAGTGTAAAATTGATAATAGTAAAGAGCTCTAAAAAGAGCAAGTATTATTTCGTTCTTGTCCTTTAAAAGTTCACAATTAAAAGATAAACAAGTCAATTGCAAAATAGACACATGAATAGGCACTTCACCAAAAAAAGCATTCAGATGGCAAACAAACACATGAAGAAATGCTCAAAATCCCTAGTTATCAGAGAGATGCAAATAAAAACAACTATGAGACATCCTCTCCCCTCAGCAACAACAGCAAAGTTCAACAGAGTAGCAAACAACAAATGCTGGTGAGGTTGTGAAGAAACTAGAATCCTTATTCACTGCTGATGAATGCAAGAATGCAAATTTTAACTTTAATTAAACCAGGGAGTGATGAAACAATGAGTTATAGCATTCTATTTACTTAAATATTAGACGTGTTTTTCATAGACTTAAAAATTACTAAACTTAAATTACATTAAATTATGGGGAAAGTAATATTTAAAAATCCAGTGGGTAAAGATGATGGAATACCTGCAAAGCTTCAGCTATCCGCTCCACTAAACTCAAAACAACATCTTCCAGATCTTGAAAGGTAGGATAAAATTCTATTTTCTCATCCTCAAATGTCAATTCCATCTTAAATATTGGCAGTCCTTCTTGGTCCTTTGGGTCAAAGAGTTTTACAAATCCTTCTACAGTTCTCCTTAAGAGGTCCTTTAACTGCATAGAACCACACATTATATTTTTTGTTGTTATTTTCAAAAAGTCCAAATTCTACCTTTAGCTAGAAATCAGTCAACTAGTATCTATACTTAAGTCACCTTATCAAATAATTTGGTCCCAAAAATTATCCTATATAATCTTAATAAGCACATGGAACAAGGCATGCAGACTTTATGCTAGATCAAAAATCGCGAAATTTTTGCTGCAACTGTTAGGTGCCACTGTCTGCCCCTGCCATCCTCACAGCATCTATTGTATTAAGTTCACTGTGGCAGCTAATGTCTCAATCAATTCATTCATTAAAGGCCTTCTTCCCTTTCACTGACACTCTCCCACAGATGGTGGCCTTCTCCAAGGACTGGCTCTTCCTAATAACATGCCTCACAGGGACATCTTTGCTTTGGAGCACTTCAAAGAGCATTGCAGTGTGTAGTTTGACTTCTTGACTACTGTTTCCATGGGTGCTGGTTGTGAATCCAAGTAAAATTAAGTCCCTGACAGCTTAAATCTTTACTTTATATTGAGATATAATCCATACCAAAGCCTTAAGATAGCAACTCAGAATATTCCATATTTGTTAGCAGTTCAGAAAATGCTCCAGAAGACTAAGTACTGTGATGAAGACTGGATAGTGTGTGCCTGACACCTGAAGGATGAAATGCAGTGCTGTGGTGTCCTGGGACTAGTCCCTGTGTGACAAAAACCAAATGTCTCAAAACTGAAGAATTCCCAGAGACCATTGTTAAGCCATTCATTGCAATCAAGCCAGAATTAACTCATAGATGATCATCTAGCAGGTTTTTAGAGGTTGTAAATCACATAGGAGGAGTCTGTCCACCTTTCTCCCAAGAAGCAGCTGGTGGGTTCAAACCATCTGCCTTTGGGTTCGCAGGACAATTCTTTCCCCACTAGGCCATCAGTTGTTGTTAGATGCCACTGAGTCGAGTACAACTCATAGCACCCCTATAAACAACAGATGTGAACCCAGTCCTATCCTGTGCCATCCTCATCATCTCTGACACACTTGAGCCCATTGTTTCCAATCATCTATCTAATTGAGGGTCGTCCTCTCTACCGCTGATCCTCCATCTTTTCAAGTATGATGTCCATCTTCAAAGAATAGCCTCTTTCAGCAACATACCCAATGTATGTGAGATGAAGTTCTGCCATCCTTGCCTTCAAGGAACATTCTGGCTGCACTTTTTCCAACACACATATATTTGTTCTTTTGGCAGTCCATGAGATATTCAGCACTCCTCTTCAACACCATAACTCAAAGGCACCTATTCTTTGTCATCTTTATTCACTGCCCAGTGCTCAGATGCATAGCAATTGATGGAAAAGACCCCAGCCTTAATAAGAAGTACCTTGGTCTTCAAACTGACATCATTGCTCCTCAGTAATTTGGATAGGTTGCTGACTGCACACTTGCCCAATGCCACATGCCTCCTGATTTCCTGAGGTTGACTGTGGATCCAAATAAGATAAATCTTTGACAATTTCAATCTTTTCTCTATCTTTCATGCTTATTGGTCCTGCAGTGCAAACTTTTGTTTTCCTGATTTTGAGATGTAATCTGTGTTGAAGGCTGCAGTCTTTGATCTTCTGCAGCAAGTGTTTCAAATCCTCCTCACTTTCAGTATGCAAGGTTGTGTTACGTGCATAATGCAGATTGTTGATGAGATTTTCTCCCATCTTAATGCTACATTCATTTTTCATAAGTCCATCAGAGCTCCCTATTATATATATTAAGTGGTATAACACTGGTCTGGCCATTTGCTGTACAGAGGTAACTTGTGGTTGCTGTGATGCTAAATACTGTGACACTGCTGTGTCAAATGTGATAATAGTTTCCCATGGTGGGTACTCTTTGGTGAAGCTTCCCCATTAAAACAAGCTTGGAAGCATTCACTTCCTAAATAGCTTGTTTCCAGAAACTCTCTGAATGTGAAGAAATGATAAAAGTTATACAATTGTTCAGGTCTTTCATTCATAGGGTCGCTGTGAGTCATCTATGACTCGACAGCACTTAACAACCACATATATGCAATAGTGTGAGTGTGTGTGTGTGTGTATGCACGAGCACACACACACAGAAGTGTACACCATAACCTAACACCATTATCACCCATGTGTAATGTCCTTTTGAAGATTTATTGCAAAACTCATTGACTCTTTAGAAGTTGAAATATGAAGAACACTTAAGCAAATACAATCCCCAATATTAAATTGTATCACACTAGACCACAGAGGCTGAGATCATTCACCTCTGACACCAAGTTCACCGTCTTTGCCTCTAAGGAGCGGCCCTGGTTGTACTTCCTCCAATCGGACGTGTTCATTCTGTTGGCAGTCTGTGGGATGCTCAGTACTCTTCTCCAACACCATGTTTCAAAAATCCTTGATTCTTCTGTGATTCTCATTCATTTTCCAACTTTCAGATGCCTGTAGTTGTTGTTGTTGATACACGCTGTCAAGTTGAAAATGACTCATAGCTGACTCTCCAGTGAGTTTCCAGAGGCTGTAAATCACACAGGAGGAGATTGCCCATTTTTCTTCCTTGGAGCTACTAGTGAATGTGACCTGCTGGCCTTTGTGTTGGCAGTGCAAGTCCTTCTCACATAAAGGACAGTGAAACTTGGTCTCACATCATTTGGACGTGTTATCGGGATTCTCCCAGGAAACAGCTCTTGTGCTGGGAAAAGTGGAAAGACAGCACAATAGAGGAAGAGTCTCAGCAAGATAGGTTGCCGCAGGCTTTCATCCCTGAGCATAACCAACCATATTAGGTCAAAAGAGAAACATCTGCCCAAAGACAAAGCCCTGAATGCAAAAAGGGTAGAGGCTTAAGGGAGAATTATAGGGAGAAAATGGGGAAAGTATTATTACACTGAGATATAGTAATTATTTTTACAAAACATGTGCATGAATGGATGAATGAAGAACCAATTTGCTTTGTAAACTCACAATAAAAAAGTAAATTTTAAAAACCAAGTTGGCAAATAACCTCTTAAGCCAAGACTATGAATATATGAATCATTCACAGAATTACTGAATTGAAAAAATGAGAATTAATCAACTTGGACTTTCAGAAGTTAAAAAAATAGGTTTCAGTAGAAGTGTCGTGTCAGCATTGCTAGTGGAAGAAAGGAGTGTGGTATGAACCCAGGGAAGCAAATGAAAACATGGAAATATGTGTCCATAAAGTAAGTGCTTAGTCTCAGAGATCAGAGACTAAAAAGAACGAAAAGAAAGATCCCAGCACCCTGAAGGAAAAAGAAGTCCCCCAGCACTCTCTCTACTTGTTTGTCCAATAAGTACATACAGCTGGGGCCCCGTTACCATGTCCTGGCTGACACTAACTTCATCAACTTCTCCATTAAAGCCAAACTGGACCTGTACAATCAATGATGGCCTGTCTGTTTGTCAAGTGCATCCCTTATACAACTGACTATGTAAGGCTGAAACTGAGACGTTGGGACAGAATTTTCCAGTAGCTTTAAGGATTGGCAAGGATCCAAGATTTGAACAATTACCATATACACACAAAGGAATCTCTGTGGATGACTGCTTGATGCAGACATTAACTCAAGTGTTACACTGTGGACACAGCTGACCAAGCCCTTAAACAAAGACTCCAAAAGATCCCTGGAGTTTCTATCATGTACATTTCTAAACATAGTTGCAATACTGAGTGGATGCCAGATGATTATGGAGCCCCTCGGTTTTGATTCTTACAAGACAAAGTTTATTGCCTTACTTCAACTGCCTTTCTTGATTTCCAGTTCATTAAGCATGCTTCCTTTTTTAAAAAAAAAAACAGTAGATGTTTCATAATATGTTAGCTCTTTGTTAACACATTACAAAAATAAAAAATAATAAACAGCTAATAAACTATAACCACCATGATAACAACACATACTTCTAGCCTTCCCTCTTAGTTTAGATTGCATCAGAAACTAAGTGAGTTTTGTGCAATTTATTACATAAAACTATAGTGAAAATTTTCTCCTTAATTTATTACAATATAATTGCTTAGCGTAATAGAATTTTATAGGGAACAATAAGCTAATTTTAATACTACCTTTTAGGATACATAAAATACATTTACCTGATTTGACATAAGTGTGGAAACACAATTATAAAAACTATCTATTTTCTCAGGCTTAATGCCTTCTAAAGACTCCTTCTTGGTAAAGAGATTTATAACCTTTGGATACCATGTAGTCATTATCTTCTCTTCTGTCTTTTTGGCTTGTATTGAGAGATCATTTCTCAATGATTCACAATCAATTGGACCTTTAGCTCTGGTTCAGAGAAAAGAAAATGACAGATTTTGGTCTTCATATACATTACTAAAACAAGTAAAATATAATTTTCAAATTGTACAATCTAAATTTTTCAATTATAAATTTAAAGAAAGTTTTCAAAGTTTTAAAAATTGTACAGTTAAAAACAAGACTAAGCAAAGAGGTAGTACAATCTTTTTTTAAAATTTATTATTTTTGTGTGTGTATACCATCGAATCAGATCTAACTGGTACAGGAGGAGATTGTCCCTCCTTGTCCAGCAGATCATCTGGTGAATTCAAACTGCACACCTCTGGGATTGCAGTGCAGCTTATTGCCAGTAGGCCACCAGAGCGTGCCACAAATCTTAACTGATAATCAATAACTACAACATTTTTACCTAATTCCTGTTAAGTCCAGCAAAACTGTATTGGCAAACGTCGTATAACCAAGGTCCAGTAATACTTTCATGGCTGGGTGAACAATGTGCAAATTAGATGATATTTGACTTCTTGCCTGCACATAGCTAGAATGCCATGGTTTTGAATAATCCAGACCTCTGGGGAGGGGGAAGGCATCAAACATTAATAAAACAAGAAACTCTAAATTTTAGGAAATAATGTTTATAATGAGAAATTAATATTAAAATGAAAAAATTAGGATTGAGAAGAGGAAAATACAGTCAGCAATAGTGGCCAGCAGAGATAAATAGTTAATAAAAAAAAAATCAAGATCTCAAAAGTATATTATCTTAAGAGAACAAAACTAAATCGTGGGTTAGTGGAGCCAGATGTGAGAGCCAGGTTCCATTGCTCTCTGGCTCAGTTACTTTATGAGGAGCTAACAGAGCAGTCATTAGGAATAGAGAAGAAATGGAGAAATTTGTCCCACAAAGACCAAGTAGAACTATATAAGCAGCACAGGCTATCTGTGGAGAACAGTATAATAATTTTATATTTTTAACATGTTGCCGCACACTTTAAATTGACGGCCATGCTTAAAAACACATTTTTTTATGTATTACCATCATTTGTGGTAATGTGTTAAAAAAGTATTGAAAACAGCTTTGAGCTTTTCAATTCTAGACTTTAGTGTAAGATCAGTTTATTTTGGATTTGTTACCAAAACCTACTTGAAGGTTTAAGACCTTAATTGCATGGGAGAGCTCGGTCATTTGGCCCCATGCAGTTCATAATCTTCATCCTAGCCAGGTGAATAGAGTCACAAAAGTATGTAAACAGCCATCTAAGACACTCATGAGGAGGTCTCTACTCCTCATGCGTAAAAGAGAAAGAAAGAAACCAAAGCCTCTAAAAAAAAAAGAAACTAGTCATCAACAGGACTAATAGCTAAGGAGCTCTGGTGGCCTAGTGGGTAAGAAGGTGTACTGCAAACCCACAGGCAGGTGGCTGGAATCCACCAACTGCTCCAAGGGAGAAAGGTGTGCAATCTCTTCCCTGCCAATTACGGTCTCTGAAAGCTGCTGGAGGGTCAGCCATGAGTCGGCTCTGATGTTGGAAAGCCTGCATGACTAACTGTCCATGTAGCCTGAGATCAGAGGAATGGGACAAGGCTCGGCCTCCATGACTGACCAATGTGAACAGGGCCACAATAAAGGGCTCTATCAGATTTAAGGACAAATACAAATGGAAGATAGGTCATTTGGAAATACTTTTAACTTTCTATCTGGTGGAGACCTGAAAAGATGGGGTAAGGGTGGGCATAATTCAATGCAGATTAAGTTTATGAAACACAGTGTATGGGAATGAGTGTATAAAACAAAATGTGAATGAAGGAAAGTGTGAAACACAATGTATATGAATTCTGTATACAAACCATTACAAAATGAAAATTTTTAAGGCTATAAATATACATTGTTGTTGTACTATAGAGTTGGAATAGACCCATAGATGACCCTCTGGTGGGTTTCGGAGGTAGTTAATTTCATGGGAGGAGATTGCTCATTCTTCTCTCTTGGAGCAGCTTGTGGCCTCAAACTGTGTATCTTAGAGACTGAAGCACAGCTTCTTGCTACTATGCCACCAGAGAGCAGCGCTCTTCTCTCTCTCTCTCTCTCTCTCTCTCTCTCTGTCTCCTTCTCTCTCTCTCTCTCCTCCCTGTCTCCTCTCCTCTCCTCTCCTTTCTCTCCCTCTCTCCATATATACACCAGTTGACATATTTCAACAAACAGATGTAGTCCTGGATGTGCTCACCAGATTGTGCAAAGAAATCTGGAGGACAGAAAAGGTGAGGAAGACCCTCAACAAGATGGATTTGACACAGTGACTCAAATAGCAGGCTTGACTGTGTCAGAGATGATATCATTGGCACAGGATAAGGCAGGGTTCAGACCCAGTATTCATGGGGTCACTATTAGCTGTAGTCAGCTTGATGGCACTTAACAATAACAACCCTTCAGTACAGTACTCTAGTGAAAAATCATCTATATGAAACCAAAAGGTCAATAAACATCCTAACGTAAAAATGAGACAAGAGGTAACAAGGAGATTATGGTCCCGGAAATGGAGGAAACAGATACAATTTAAGAGAATATTGATACATTGTGGGAAATTTGATTAATGACATCAAACAACTTCCATAGACACCATCAAACTGGAGCCTGATTTTCTGTACAAGCATTCAACAAAAATACTAGAAACACAATTGTAAAAAAGAAAAAAAAAACACACAAAAACAAACCCACCAAACTACATGAAATACCACATTTGAAATTATTTACTTACAATGGAGATTCAGGTAAAGGGCCTCCTTCATCTTCAAGCCATTTAATTGATGGTTTCACAAGAACACTCCGCACTAAAATAGACATGCAAGTATATACTTCTCAGGAACTCTTAAAAAAGTCATTGATATAAAAGTTTCTGACTTTTGATAGTATAATTTGGATAGTGTAATTTCTTGTGCATTGAAATAAGTATCTAAAAGCTTTATTTGAAACAAAATTAGCTGTTAGTCATATTTTTGGCCTTACTTTGGAAGTAAAGCTTAATCTAAGTAAAAGCTTTTGACAGTAAAGCTTTTGAAAGTTCTCGGTTTGTAGTTTCATATCTATTCATAGGTTTTGATCATTTAAGAAAATTCATTCTAATATAAATGACTAATGTTAACCCCCTAGTAAATTTCTCTAAGAGAATTAGTTTGTTTGGGTTCTTAGTTTTGTTGAAGTTTTTTTAAAAACAAGCCCAAAAATAGGATAGTTACAAATGCAAAGTTAAAGATAGTCCATTAATAAGCACACATAATTACAAAAAAAGTTACATAAAAATCACATTTTTATCTATAAGTTCAAAATAAAATCTTTAAGAAAAAGTCATACTTGAGAAATATTTCTGTTAATAATAACTTTGTTATTATGTTTATTTCTACTTTTGATTCAAGGGGGGGGACCCAAAATAGCAAAGATAACAGAAATACCACAAGGGTTGGCTTTAGTAAACAAATTTATCTTTTCAAGGTGTAGGCAGATAGAAGTTTAAATTAGTGTGCAAACTCTGGGGAAAGACATTTTCATTTTTCTGGTGGCTTAGTGCTAAGAAGCTGTGCTGCTAACCCAAATAAACACTGTTCTACACTATTTACTGCCACCAAAGAGTCTTTGGAGGAAAAAAAACAAACAAACAAAAAACCCAACTAACTCACTGGAAATCAATTCTAAGTTGACTTCCAAGTTGACAGCAATGAACAATTGTTAGCTCTAGAGGAAGGTCCTTGTCGTTCAGCTTCTGCGTTCTGGTTCCCTGGAGCTCCCCATGTGTCTCAGCATCTATCTTACTCCTCCAACCCTTCAAGCTTGTTTGTTTAACTTCTTTTATATCTCAAAAGAGACTGACTCAAGGTACATATACCTCACAGTTACTCATCTCATTAACATAACAACCAAATGGGATTATACCCATAGACACAAAGGTTAGGATTTGCAACACATAGTTTGGAGTAACACTGTTTCTACCATAACAAAAAGATAAAGAAACTTGGCATGTTCTAAACACTCTTGTTTTCAGGTGGCCTTGTAAGGACTGTGTGTCAAATGCTACTTACCTAAATATCTCTTCATGCTATTTTCAAAATCACTTGACACCTCACTTATAAGGCTCTCAACAAGTTCTTCTCTTTCTTTTCCTTCCTTTAAAGACTTAGGTATCAGCATTAGTATGTTATCCAGCCATTCCTGCTGAATAGGTACTATAGGACTACTTTCCACACACTGCTTCAAATGCATATAGTTGAGCTGGGAAAGCAAGAAGAAAAAAATTATACTGTAGCGATCTAACATAGCTACTGAGCTTCATCCTCTCAATAGAACACTAATAATCTCACTGCTTTTAGAATTTTTAAAAAATTATCTTATTGTAAAAATCACAATTAAAATAAGAAATTGTCTTTAAAAATTTTCCAAAAATATGACCTACAAAGAAACTGGGTTTTTCTTTTTTATTTATGATAAATTTTCATCATATTAATGCCCTTAGTATTTCCTTCAATATCTGAAGGCAAAAGAAACATCTTTAATTTTTTATTACTTAATTCAAAACCCATACGGTCCATACATGGTATGGTTGTTGCCCTTGGTAGAAAAAAATAAAAGCTCTCAGTTTTGAAATGTCTTCTTATAGAATGGGCTCCATTCAGTAGGTGGTCTTAGGAAAATGAAAAACAGCATTGTCAAAGCAAATATAAAAAAGCTGAACTCACTCCTCTTTTTTTAATTGCACTGGACATCTGTCAAAAACAAGATAAAATTAAATTAGAGAATGAAAGATAAAAAGCTAAAATACAGCTATTCTATTTTTAAGTATTCATTATATTAAAACTAAAAGCAAGGATTAAAACAGTAAGAAAGTAAACTTTTTAAAGAGGCAATTTAACTTACAGTTGAAGGATATTCTGGCTGTGGTAATGAAGGGACTCTTTTATAAAGAGTTTTGTCTAAATTCTTTTTGGCTCCCTCAATTCTGAAATTTATAATTAGAAAAATGCATGACTTTAAGATAACATTACATTATTCAAATATTATAATTTGTGCTTTTTCTACTATACTATAAGAAGAGATACTCAGGAGTGTCTCAAATCCTATAGAACATTCTTTGAGAAACAAATTTCAATAGCTATTATTGTCCTTTTAGCTGTTGTTATGTGTAGTTGAGTTGGAGCAGATCTTCCAGTAGGTTTTCAGAGGCTGTGAATCGCTCTAGGAGAGACTGTCCAGCTTTTTCCCGTGGAGTAGCTGGGAGATTTGAAATGCCTGTCTTTGGATTGGCAGGGTAGCTTTTTACCCACTAGACCACCAGAGCTCCCCTGTAGCTATTTCCAAATTATGTGTGTAAAAAAGGCTAATGGAAGAAAAAAGAAAAATTTTTTTTTTAAAAAAAGAAAAAATTTTTAAAAGGCTGATGACTCAAAATAAAAATCAATTTGCTTTTTTACTAAATTTTTACTCATTTGTTCTAATTTATTTAAAATTTGAAATTAACCCTTTTATGTGTTATCTCTCCTCAAGTATCTTGTCTGTCAAGCCTCCCTCCACCCCTATTAAAAAAAAAGTGCCTCCTTCCCTACCCATCTCTTTCATCCCATCTTATCTTGCTTCAGGGAGTTCTTTCTGATGTCCTAGTCTCTAGGGAGTTGCATTGCTAACCTAGAGACCATTTCTCCTCAGGAGAAAGATGGGCAAGCTCCTCCCGTGTGATTCACAGCCTCATAAACCCAATGAAGGGTCAGCTATGAGTTGGTTCTGACTTGAGAGCGGTGAGTTTTACCTTGTTTTCTTGTATTTAATACAACCTGATATTATATACTGGTTATTTTCTGGGTCTTCACTTTAGCATAAGGAACATATGTAGAGTTGTGGTTAAGGCACTGAGCTGTTACCAGACTGAATCTACATACTGCTCCACAGGAGGAAGATGAAGCAGTCTGCGTCTGTAAACACTTGTCATTGTTATGTGTCATTGAGTCACCTGTGATTCATAGCGACCCTAAACCTTGCTCTATCCTATGCCAATCTTACTGTCTCTGACACATCCACCCCCATTACCCCAGTCACTGAGTCAATCCATCTCATCAAGAGTCTTCCTCTCTTGTCCTGTCCCTTCACCCTCCCAAGCACGATGTCCCTCTCCAAGAACTGGCCTCTCTTTGCAACATGCCCAAAGTGGGTCAGACAAAGCTTCAAAACCCTTGCCTCCAAGGAGTAGCCTGGTTTCACCCTTTCCAGAACTAATCTGTTTGTTCTCTTAGTAGTCCATGGTATATTTAATACTCTTCTCCAGCACCACAGCTCAAAGGCATCAATTCTCCTTCTATCATCCCCAGTCTTTGTCCAGCTCTCTGATGCATAGCAAGTAATTGCAGATACTATGGCTTGGATCAGGTGCACCTTAGTCTCTGGACTGACATCGTTGCTCTTTAGTACTTCAGAGATGTATCTGACAGCAGACTTTCCCAATGCAATATGTCTTTTAATTTCCTGACTGATGGTACCAAGAGTGTTGATTGTGGAGCCAAGCAAACTGTAAACACAATATTAAAAATCCAGAGAGGCAGTTCTACTCTGTCCTATATAATCATTATGATTTGAAATTGACTTAGTGGCAGTGGGCTGGATTGAGATTAGTACTCTCAGTGCCTAGAACACTATCTAGCACATGGGCAGTACTCAAATGATTCTGAATATATTCTTTTATCATGCACAAAATATAATTTCTTCTACAAATAAAGTTATATCATAGTGTATAATTAATTGATCTGCCAGTAAATATTTACTGAATGCCTAGTGGGCTATATACTGAGCTGCTGACTAATGACCGGAATGTGGAATGTAAGAAACATGAATGTAGAAAAACTGGACATCATTGAGAAAGAAAAGGAACATATAAATATTGACACTTTAGGTATTGGTGAAATGAAATAGATCAGCATGGGACATTTTTAATCAGATAATCAAATGATCTACTGTACTGTAGATGAAAATTTGAGAAAAAATGGGGTCACTTTTATAATAAGTTAAAAAGTCCATCTCTAGATCCATCTTGAAATAGAATGTTGTAAAAAAAAAAAAGAAATAGAATGTTGTGAGCAACAGGATAATATCCATACACATACAAGGAAAACTTGTTAATACCAGTATCATTCAAATTTATGCACCAACAACCAGAACCAAGGAGGAGGAAATAGATTATTTTTGCCAATTTTTGCAGATAGAAATCAATCAAACATGCAACCAAGATACATTAATAATAATGGGTGACTAGAATGCAAAAGCTGTGAACCAGGAATAAAGATCAGTAGTAGAAAAAGCTAGGGTTGGTGACAGAAAGGAGGCTGGGGATAAAGTGACAGAAGTTTGCACAGTTAATGATTTATTCATTGTAAATAACTTTTATAAGAAACATAAACACAGGCTATACACATGGATTTCACCTGATGATATGCACAGAAACCAGATCGATTACATCTTTGGAAGGAATCACTGGAGAAGGCAGCAGTGAAAATGCCAGATGCTGATTGCAGAATAGTCCATCAACTACTCATATGCAAGTTCAAATTAAAGCTAAAGAAGGTGAAATCAAATCCACAGGAACCAAAATTTCATCTTCTGTCTATCCTCCCTGAATTTAAAAACCAACTCAGGAACAGGTTTGAGGCCCTGAACACTAACGAACAAAGACCAGATAAGCTGTGGGAAGATATCAAGAATATCATCCATAAAGAATGCAAAAAGGTCTCTCTGTGTACTCTTTCCATCTTCTTTTAATGCTTCCTGGATAATTCTATATTCTGCCCATAATATCCTCAAGTACTGCAAACCACAGCTTGGATTTGTTCTTTAGTTCCTTCAGCTTAAGAAATGCTTGATTTTCCGACTCCATCTCTTTGCACATGTTACTCTAATGCTAACAAGGACGGAGGAAGAAGAAAAGACCAAAATGATTTTCAGAAGACTATGAATATTGCACTGAAGCACCTAGAAGTAAAAGGCAAAGGGAAGCAAAGGAGCTGAACAGATTTCAAAGGCCAGTTCAGGAAGACAAAGGAAAACATTAGAGTGTTATGTGCCTTGTTCCATTTACATGGTTAATAAACTATAGAGATGAGACGTGAACTCAGGCTGGTCTGATGACAGTCTGTATTCTCAACTACCAAGTCAGCTTCATTCATTCTCAACTACCAAGTCAACCTCATTCAAAGGCATTTCCAATTTCCTCATTATCATGGCCAGTCTCCTTTGTAACTTTCTGGCTTTTCAGCATAATTTCAGAATTCTAGATGTTATTCAACTAGTATTTACTAGCAGAAGGTTTTTAAAGTAACATAATTACCAAAAGGGATTTTTTAGTAACATACTTTCTCTAGTGAATCTTACAGTGCTGATATCAAATTAAAATCCCTAAGAACTTTAAACATGAAGTGGGTGTGTCAGAGACGGTGATTGGCACAGGACAAAGCAGAGTTTAGGGCTGTTGTACATAGGGTCGCTATGAGTCGCAAGCAACTCGATGGCACATAACAACAACAACATATATGATGCTATTTGGGGAGAATATTGAATGAAAACGAAGATGAAAGGAGCACAGAGAGTCATTGTACCAACAACAACAAAAAATCCAACTTATGTTCAAGAAGCAATGGTGATGAAGGAGGAATTTCAAGCTGTTCTGAAGGAATTGGCAAAATACAAAGCCCCAGGAATTGATGTAATACCAATTGACAGATTTCAACAAACAGATGCAGCCCTGGAAGTGCTCACCAGGCTGTACAAAAGTAATCTGGAGAAAAAACATCTGACCAACTTGAAAGAGATCCATATTTATTCCCATTCCAAAATAAGGTGATCTGACAGATATGGAAATTATAGAATGGTAAGTCCTGTTGAAGATTATCCAAAAGTGACTTGGACAGTATATCAACAGAGAACTACAAGAAAATACAAGCTAGGTTTAGAGGAGCCCATAGCACTAGGGACATCACTGCCAATGTTAGATGAGTCTTGGCCAAAAGCAGAGTACCAGAGGAATGTCTATCTGTTTCATTGACTATGCAAAGGCATTTGGCTGTGTGGATCACAAAACATTGTGGCTAACCTTGAGAAGAAAGGGGATCCCAGAACACCTGACTGTGTTCATGCGAAACCTATAATTGGTCCAGGAGGCAGTCGTCAGAATAGAGTAAGGAAACACCGCGTGGTTCAAAATCAGAAAAGGAGTGTGTCAGGGATATGTCCTTTTTCCTTATCTTTTCAATCTGTCTGCAGAACGGATCATTTGAGACGCTGATTTTATGAGGAGGAATGTAACATCAGGATTGGAGGAAGACTCATCAAAAACCTGCGTTACGCAGATGAAACTACCTTAATTGCTGGAATGGAGGAGGACCTGAAGCATTTGCTCCAGAGGATCAAGGACTTCGGTTTGCAATATGGACTGAACCACAACATCAAGAAAAGAGAGATTCACACCACTGGGCCCAATGGTAGCATCATGATGAATGGAGAAGAGAATGATATTGTTAACAATTTCCGCTTGCTCAGCTCCACAATCAACATTCTTGGCACCAGCAGTCAGAAAAATCAACAGATAGGAAAATCTGCTGTTAAGGACCTCTCAAAAGTGCTGAAGAGCAACAATGTTGGTCTAGAGACTAAGGTGAGCCTGATCTAAGCCATTGTCTTTGCAATTACTTGATATGTATTAGAGAGCTAGACAATGACCAAGGATGACAGAAAAAGAATTGAAGCCTTTGAGTTGCGGTGCAGGAGAATAGTACTGAACGTATGTGGACTGCCAAAAAAACTAAAAACTAACAGGTCTGTCCTGGAGAGCATGAAACCAGGCTACCTCTTGGAGGCAAGGATTTTGAGCCTCTTTCTCACATACTTTAGGCATGTTTCCAGGAGAGACCAATCTTTGGAAAAGGAGATCATGCTTGGAAGAGTCGAGGGACAGCGCTGGAAAGAAAGACCCTAGATGAAATGGAGTGACACAGTAACTGGAGTATTAAGGGTTGGTGTGTCAGAGATAGTGAGATTGGCTAAATATAGATCAGGGTTCAAAGTTACTGTGCATAGGATTGTTATGAGTCGTAGTCAACTTGACAGTATTTAACAGCTACAAGGACATACTAGATGGCATTAATCATAGCCCAGCTTGCATTATATTCACCCCAAGACAAAACCATGTTTAACTACACCAAGATCTTTATGTAAATGTCATTCTTTACTAGCCAAATATTAGCTAGCAATGATTTCCAGAACCTGTTTTTGTCACTAGCAAAACTAGAGGTGCAGTGTACAGTTTCAGACTGGTTACCAAAAGATTAGTTACCAAAGTGAAGTATAGAAGGGAGGAGCCCTGGTGGCCGCAGGTCACTGACTGCACTGTAAACTACAGTAAAGTGGAGGAGAATGACAACTGAAAAAATAAGTGACAATGCATTGTGTCATGTTCTGCTCTCTCTGTCAATTACAGCCTGCTCTTTTGGGGTTTTTCTTGCCTTACCAGTTACACTAACTTCTTCAGTCTCTGTGCTGGTCCAACTTCTTCTAACATCTAAACATTAAGTTCCTCTACCAGGTCTCTTTGTTTACTTCTACTCTGGCCCTTTCCCCTCCACCTCAATCTAGTCTCAGTAGCCAGGGAGATGGTTTTTTAAATGCTGATCAGATATACCACTTCCCTATTTAAAACATTTCAATGGTTTTCATTACACTTAAATCAAAACTCCTTGTCCCTGGCAATGCAGCATTGCATACCCTGACCCCATCTTCCACTCCATTTTCATTTCATGCTGCTTTCTCAAGGTCTAATAAATACCAGTGACATTGGTCCTTTTCAATTCCTGGAATACATTACAGGCATTCTTTTTCCAGCTTTCATGCTTGTTAATTCTGTATGTTAGAGTAACTTCACAATATTTATGTAAGTGGCAGCCTTGCTCTTATTCTTTAGGTTTTTATGTAACTTATCTACAGGTCTTTCTCTCCACCTGCTCTGTCACTCCCCTTTAAATTATAAAGTCATTCTCTACTTACATTATTTCCTCACAGCACCTATCACCATCTAAAAGTGTGCTAACATAATTTTGATTTGTTTAAAAAAAAAACAACCCCAAACAAGCCATGTTTATTGTCTATCTCCACATACTTGAATTAAAATACCTTAAAGACAAGATCCTTTCTGTCATGTTCTCTAATTAGTCTCCAAGTAACACAGTCCAGTGTCTGTTAGCAGTACTTCATATACTTGCATAAGCTGACAGAAAGGAAATATGCAAAAAGAGTGAAAGCAGCACAAGGAAGATTAAGGGAGGCTTCCCAGAGGAGGTGATACATAACCTAAGCCTTGAACTAGTGTGACTTCTCAGGCAGATAAAGCAGTACAGGAAACCCTGGAAGGATGTCTAAACTGTCAAAATTAAAGAATATTCATGCAACTCAGCAATGTGGAACAATGAAAGATTTTTAGAGTAACATCTGTTAACACTTAGATACTCTGCTACTCTTCAAGTATACTGAAGTATTGAATTGTTGTTGTTGTT